AGATACGCTGTCCCCCAAGTAAATGGAGCTGTAAGAGAGGTCCGACAACCCTCAACTAGATATTTGCAGAGCCGCAGGGGGCGAAAGTCCCAACAACGCCTGGTTACAAGCATTTCGGCATAAACGACGATGTTATCCAAAACATAAGTATGCAAAAAAGAAATACATAACCTGAATAATATTTGTTTAATAAAAAAAATAATGCAATGTTTTGACATTTTTAGCAATAATAATAAATATTTGGACCAACTTTTAGCGCTAACCTCGAAAGCATTGAATTCCAGTAGCATATAATAAAAATATGTTTTTATAAAATCTTTAATTCTGTAAAAGTGGTTTAAATTTGAAATGAGAAAGAAAAGAAGAAAAATTGCGAACGAGAATTATCACATTCAGTTTTTAAATTATGCCTCTTCATGCAACAAACCAGTAAGATGCAAATCCGCAATCGTAAATTAAAACTGAAAACCAAATTTGTGTGATTTTAGCAGTTAAAAAATCGATTTTTTTTCAAATTTTGACATATTCCTATTTCCGGTCACAAATGTTTATGAAAAATTATTTTGTTCATTTTTGTTAGGTTTAGTATTTTAGTTACATTCTGTATATGATTCTTTTTTTCTCCAAGTCAATATCATATTTTTCCTTCCATATTAAAAAGCTTGAATATTACCAAAAAAACCAAAGTGTGACGGTCTTGATTCAAGGAAAGTAATTAAAACAAAACATATGTAGACGTGGCTTTCCACGAACAACATAACTTATAATGAAATATAACAGAGTTTTTACATGAACAAAATCTTCTAAAACGAATAGAATTTTTAATAAAATTTTTGTGTTTGCAGATTTTTACTATTTATTTATTTATTTATGAATAAACAAAAAAATTACAATGTTATATTGTAATAGTCTAGACTAGATAATGGAGAAGTGACTAGTTTTCTCAATTTTATAATAAATAATAATTATAATAATTTAATTCCTACCTAAATAATTAATTTTGCACACAATTCCCAATTATACGCAACAAAAGAGTGGGACAACATTAATATTTATGATTGAAGACTATTCCATTAAATTAAATTGAATTGTGTTTGCTCCGTTTCCTCTGCATAATGTATGGTTATTTTTCTATGCATTACTTCTTTGAGGCAGTGTGGCATGTTATCTATATCTGCGATCCTTATCGTCATATTTTAGACACAATGGCGGAGCAAGGTTCACGCCGGGCAGTAGCTCGTCGTTATCGCGACATCTGCTTACTCAAAATACGTTTTTAAAATTAACCCGCGACTAAAACGCGAGTAGGACGAGCTGTATTCAATGGGTCCCTTCATAGGCTAATGAGTTCTGGACGATTACTACCGTATACTCATCCCATTTGTTAGCCAAGTTAGTGACACTGAATAAATACTTCTGTGACCGACATCGAAATTGCCGACCCGGATTCCCAGAACGATCCTCTCCCGAGGTTTCCATATATCAATTTTCCATTTACTCTTAGGACTGACGTACCTATTAGCGCAAGGGAAACGTGCGAGCGGCAGTAATAATTGTACCAGTCAAAAATTAAATTAGGATGCGCCGCCATAACTTACGACAAAGTTTATCTCAATATATTATCGAAATGGGTGGTACACGTTACATATTTTCCATAGCACAATTATTATTTTCACGCGGAGGCTTCTTTAAATCCATTACAAGGGCTGTTATCCAAAAGGAACGCAATACAAAATTGAGTAGGTACTAAATTTTATTTTGAAATAACTCTGGGAATGGTTCATATTTATTAACGTTATTTTCGGCTTATTTTGTATTAAAATGATATTTAGCTAAAACGTATCTCTTGTCTGTTAATTTTAGTTGTTAATTTTATGCAAAAAGGTATGATATACAGGATGGGCCATTAGTGTGAGAAACTAAAATAACTCCCTTGTTATTCATAATACAGAAAAAAAGTTTATATAAAAGTTATACAGAATAAAAAAACCTAAAGGACAAAATTAATTTGAAACATGCAGGGCGATGACTAAAAACAAGACACGCCAAATATTGCAAATTTTAAATAGAACACCCTGTATATTTTTAAACATATGGATTTCTGAGAAAATTCTATATATGGCAATATAAACAGTTTAATATTGTAGTGCGGTGTTGCCAAGTTATGTAGAAAATTCTTCGAATTTTGGAAAAAACATGACCTCGAAGAAGTTGTATTAATTTTCAACTACTGACACTTGGAGCAAAAATATATGACAGAGTTTAGGCAAATGTTAGGCAAAGACTCCTATTTTAGCTAATATCGATATTTTATACAGGGCATTTTTTATAATACGGTCACTTTTAGAAAGTTCAAACTTGATTTTCTAAAATTTTTCAAATGGAACACCCTGTGTTTTTTTATTGTTCTATTTTATTCACATATCAATCCACTTCAACTTTTATTAAGTATGTTCTACACATAAAGTTGTTAGTTTTTAAGTTATAGCAACATATCTGGAATAAACTAATTTTTATTATTTTCGGTCGCACGAAATGGCTTTGAAAAAAACTGTCACATTGTGTCAACTTGTCAGTTCATAATTTATCATTCCATTTTCAGTTAATTTTATTAGTTAATATTTGTTAGTTGATATTCTAGAAAATAATAGAAATGAAGTTTTTTCAGAAATGTTGCTATATCTTAAAAACTAACAATTTTAGATATAGAACATACGTAATCAAAGTTGAAGTGGACCGATATGTGAATAAAATAGAACAATAAAATACAGGGTGTTCCATTTGAAAAATTTTAGAAAATCAAATTTAAACTTTCTAAAAATGATCGTATTATAAAAAATGCCCTGTATAAAATATTGATATTAGTTAATATAGGAGCCTTTGTCTAACATTTGCCTATAACTCCGTATAATTATTTTGTTCTAAGTATTAGTACCTGAAAATTAATACAACTTCTTCGAGGTCATGTTTTTTCCAAATTTCTAAGAATTTTCTACATAACTTGGCAACCCCGCACTAAAATGATAAACTGTTTATATTGCTATATACAGAATTTTCTCGGAAATCCATATGTTTAAAAATGTACAGGGTGTTCCATTAAAAAAATGTAATATTTGGCGTGTCCCGTTTTTACTCATTGCCCTGTATGTTTCAAATTAACTTTGTAGTTTAGGTTTCTTGATTCTGTACAACTTTTATACAAACTTTTTTTCTGTATTATGAGTAACAAAGGAGTTATTTTACTTTCTCACACTAATGGCCCACCCTGAATATGAACATTCAGTTATTTTATAACATCAAGTACCTATGTTTTTATGGCATTGTATCAATAAAAAATCCACATAAGAGGCTCAGACATAACTTGTATACAAAACAGTGTCGAACTTTATACTAGAACAAAATGTCATAAAATATATATTTCATTAAAATGACATTTAACTAAAACGTATCTCTTTTTTTGTTAATTTCATTCAAGTATGATACTCTTACGTAGTTATGTTAGTATGTTAAATGCGTTTTTTTATCATATTATATTAGTCATGAAATTAGGATTTGTGGCTGAATCTTTATTATAAAAATTATTTTCCAGCGAATAATCTTTAAATTTGTTACAAGAATTTAGACTGTGATTCAAGGAAAATTTAATGCTTAAATCTTACATAGTTACTTTGTTAACAACAATAAATATGTTTTTCTTACATCGTGTTAAATATCAAATTGGGATACGTGGCAGTAACTATTTTATCAAAATTATTTCTGCGAAAAATATTTACAAGAAAGTGGTCCTGTTATTTATAGGTACTGAAGTAACTCTTGAAGTGGTTCAGATTTATCCAATCGTAGGTGTAATAAGCTTTTCGCACAAAAGCAATTAAAAATAAAGAAACTTTAATCTTTGTTCGGAATGGTGCTATAAGAAAACCAATAGTGCTATAAGTTGATAACATGTTTTTTGGTAGCCGTTTTTAATTAGCATTATTAATTTTATTTGTTAATTTTATTCCCAAAATATTTTGGGGTCTTATACGTGTGTTGTTAAAGAAAAATTTCTCCAAATGTCAGTCAAACGTACAGACCGACACAAATAAGTTTACATCTGAGATAGTACCGCCCACAAACACCCACTGGATACTGCAAGAGAAACACACTCCAAATAACCGATATTCCAAAAAAAACGCAAACTTATTTCTGTCGGCTTTATAAAGATTTCTTTTTTAAATCTATGATCTACGTACTATAGTATATCCTGAGATATTAATGAACTTTATATAACCTTTTTTATGATAAGCATTTTAACGAGTAGAATTTTCAGTTTGTAATACCTATTTGGTTAACGGGCAACTTCATTTCACTTGGAAAATTATTTTATGATAAAGTTTGTTTAAGGTATTTTTGATGTTCCTCTATAAGGACAGTACATTTACATTTTCTTAAACCTCCCATCCATCCCAAACCTTCTATAGGTACAATGTTTGGAGATTTTCGATCTCGGGTTTTGAGATTAAGTGAAATGAAAAGTTAAAAAGAAGAAATATAAATATAGGAATGAATTGATCACTTATGTAGTCCTACTTGCATAAAGAATCTTCCAAAAGACCTTAAAAATAACACAGTGTTAAGAAAACAATATACAAATCTAAATTGCTTTATTTAAAATTGCTTCTGTTCAAAGTAATATGTTCTCACTTTGACGATATTGAAAACATTCTTTAAAGTAATGCCTTATTTATTCATTTTTGTTGGTTCCGCAGTTACAAACATGTATCCTTTAATTTCGACTTTATATATTTGGTAGAGTTATTTTGGTCTCAAGATTTTGTGGTAGGATGTGCGCTTGTGCAAAATCATAGTCACCAATAGGTCAACTTTCCTTTTAATTGTGTTATCCACTTAATTTTGCAGAATGATTGTTCAAAGCTACCATATGGATTAATCCTTTTCAGTAACTGTTCAAAGCTAATGTGATTTTCTCAATTTCATATTGGATTAAAATCACTTACCAGTCTTCTTTTTGGTTTGATAAGAGGTCGATTCTGTCCGTTCATTTTGTAGTACAATCCGCAGGCATTGCAGAGGTAGTGTCCGGTCCCGTCGCGTCTCCAAAGTGGCGTACTAGTCGCTCCACAATTCACACACTCTCTACCCTCTGCAGAACAGAAACAGAAACATATGTTAGTTAAAGTGTCCCCAGATAATCGACATCAGTATTCCCCACAAGTTCTACGACATTAAACATGCAGTGATTAGCGTGCTCGCAGAACAATTTGTCATTCGATAGACAGGAATGAAATCAACCAAATTTATTAAATATTCAAAACTAATTGCCCTCCGAGGTATATCTCCCATAAATATTTAAGAGAAGCATTACTCTAAACACAGATAGTATTGAGGCAAATTATGACTTTTACCTTGGTACAAGTTTTCCATTTCGCCTGAGGCGAAGTTTATCTAAATTTATTCCATCTATTATTAGCCACGACATATATATTATTATTATTAAAATTAATAAAATTAAACTGACATCATAATACCAACTGCACCTGATTCACCGACTATGTTAATAGTAAATTGTTGCATGAACATAATTTAGAAGTAATGGTTGATTTGTTGATCACGCATCGACTGTGTAATTTACGACAATTGTATAAGCTAAGCAGAAACGTCAAAGATTTCTTCTTAATAATTATAACTATCCTTCCACAGATGTTACTTTATGAATTCACAAATAAAAAGAAGGTGCAGGGGTGCAAGCACCAATATGTAAATTGTCCAGGAGAAGCTTTTCTTTGTTTATATCATTCGTTGTCATTTCATTTGACTAAATAAGTATACGAGATAGTGAGTAGCTAAGTAACATTCAGAAATGTTTTCTTATATACAAGCGTATTGATACCACAGCCCCACAAAAAAAATTGAAATTATTTTCTCCGATATCTGACAAGGTGCACTCAATGTTTTTGGGGTTGCTGAATCCGAATCCGGGGTCCGTTTAACCCCATCACGTCAGGGTGAAGGGCATCTGAAGGTCAAATTGCGGAATGACTATTAAAAAATCTGGAAAAATTTATATATATATATATATGTTTTTTCGGGGTCGCTAAATCTGAATCTGGGGTTCTCTTGACCTTGAAGTGTCAGAATCAAGGTCAAATAAAGGTCAAAACCCTAAAATTTGAAGATATGATCATTTTGATCCTGGATTCTTGAAGAGCAGAAAATTTTACGTCCGAATATGTATTGACTTTTTTTTAGAACAGACCTTTGTAGGTCACGTGATGGTCATCCAAAATCAAATCCATTTTCCAGTTTTTGGCTGTAAATTGAGATCTTGGGTCTTTGATGAGTTGATATTTTTCGGGTCGTTGATCACGATTCTGGTATTCATTTGAGCCAATCACGTCGTAATATAACGATATAATATTTTCTTACTCCGGATTCTGTAAGAGTGAAAAATTTCATCCGTGTGTTTGCATCCAGGGCACCTCCCCGTGGTGACGGCGGGCAACGGAGTTGTCCCGCTATCCGGCAAAGTCCCTGGAACAGGACGCGTATGCCGTCATGGCAAACACAACGGAGAAATTTACGATGCAGGGGGATGGAACCCCAGTATCGGCGGCTGGTCAGGGTGGGAAAGCGGGCCCGCAGGCGTCGTCATCCAGTGACCGCGGCTCTGTTGAGGTGGCTACCTTGGCCTCACCAGAGTATAAAGCTACAAGTAGTAGAACCCATAGACATGAGCATGACAACCCAAAAACCCCATATCATTTCTGTTATGTTTGTGGTAAATACGTAGTCAGATATAAAATTTTCTGCTCTTTCGGAATCCGGGGTCAAAAATATCATATCATCAAATTTTAGGGTTTTGACATTTATTTGACCTTGATTATCACACTTCAATGTCAAGAGATTCAGATTTAGCGACCCCGAAAACATATATATAAATTTTTCCAGATTTTTTAATAGTCATTCCGCAATTTGACCTTCAGATGCCCTTGACCCTGACGTGATGGGGATAAACGGACCCCGGATTCGGATTCAGCAACCCCAAAAACATAAAGTGCACCTCCTCAGATATCGGAGAAAATAAGTTCAATTGTTTTTGTGGGGCCTTGTACTTTTTACGAATATAATATTTAAGATAAATAAATGATTAGAACAAATACCAAACACAAAAACGGACACATACGTGGTCTAAGAATGGAATAACATATAACATGTGACGTGTAACTTATTCCGTTCTTATACCCGTCTATACCAGAAGATAAGTGATCTTATAATTTTGTTTCTATTAAACCCGCAGATTCGAATCTACAGACGAAAATAGTACATTTTTTAAACTTATATCTTGCAGCAATGTCTTCAATTTAGGTCCTAAATATGCTTACTAGTCTTTTATATTTTGAGTACTAGTTTTCAGTTTTATTTTATTTATTAATAGTTTTTATTAATTCATTAAATGTAGTCAACGTTTTGGAAAATCATATTACATTTGTACAAAAATAAACTAAGAACTAGTAATTTTGTAAACAAATTTATAATTTAATCAAATCACGGCAATTGAAAATATTAACCCTAGCTGCTTTATAGACAATGAAAAAGCTGATGATTTATTAGAAAGAAATCTGAAACAGTTTTCTTAGGACTATACCGGTTTTTGATTTGCTTAAAGTAACACTAAACATGCTTTAAAGATATGAATGACAGGAAAACATTGTGAATACCCCTGTCTGAAGGCGAGGACAAGTTCGTGAGATGGAAATGTAACAGTCACTCAGCAAAAAATATAAAAGAATTGAAACAAATGGAAAAACAGATAAATTTGCAAAAAAATGGTCTAAAATAGTTTCCCTTGTGAAAAGGGACAAGCGAAATATTGAGTATGACTAAAATCAGAAAATTTGCAGGACTCTTAACGGCAAACTATCAATTGAAGAATCATCTTTACAATTTGAAATTGTGAATCTTGACTGAGTATGTCGGTTTCGGATTCCAGAGAGAATTAAAGAAAATATCGACAAGCAAACTTTGATCTTTATTAATATAAACAAACAAATAATAAAGTACGAGTGCAATAAATCTAAATTGGGGGACTCTTAGAAATCGATTTAAAGAACATGAAATAGAAGAAGATATTTAGCTAATTACTTTGATTTCTAACTACAATCAATACAATAAAATATTTTGTCGATTAGCCCAATCTTAAGATCTTGTTTGTTTTGTTTCGTTATAGCAGCCTCTGCTTTAACTTGGATCTGGACATAAATAATAGATAATGAATAATGCAGAATGACATGAATTGACAATATAAAATTAATTTTTATAATAATGAATGATATTGTATCAATACCATGAACTGATTAGCAAAAATATATTTACTGATAAACAATGATAATCTCAATTAGATATTATGTATCTCTCTCTGTTTTCTGATATCAATCTCGCTAACCTTAATTGTAGATCAGCAAAAACATCACCGCAAAATCTACATCTTTTTGTGAAGGTATATATATATATATATAGGTCTTATAAAATAAAATGTAGCACAAAAATCAAATCAAATTCATGTATGCTACTACATACCACATGTAAACATACTTGGTACTACTATTTTTTTGGTATTATATAATTTGAAACTACATATAAAAAATTGCAGTCATTTTTAACATGTTCCTAATTTTGGTAATTTTGAATTTAACTGTATAGTGCATTTAGAGCATATAGGCATCTATAATACTTACGATTTATATTCAGAAACTGTTTTATAACTATCCAGTTATATCTAGTGCAAAAACTTTTAACCTCATCTTAGCAAAAAATTGCACATTTAAACGTTAACGAACGACTTGTTCATCGACTAAAGCCAATTTTCTTCAGACATTAATTTGCCTCGGAGAGACAGAAGCAAAATGTAAATGTGGTTAATTTTCTATTGTTTATTCATTCCTTGCTGGAGGTAGAGGCAAGCTCGCTTCCTCCGTTTGCCTTTTAAATCACTTTGTCGCACTCGCTCGTTCAATAACTAAGAAGTAAAGCCTACAATCGTGTGTGGTCTACATTTTAACAGGCATTATACGTAATTAAATTCGTTAATTTTCCAAGCAGAAGGCTACTTAGTTGCGTTAAGTTGTTCTGTTGGAGGAGAATGACATTAATCCAGCTAGACCAGACCCGATTGTTGCAAAGTAAAAGCCACAATCATGCAATAAGTCGAAAAAGTATTAATTTGACATGCATATAACATTCACCATTGGGTACTCCGTGTGTCCGCGGTATTCAGACAAAGTTGTAGCATGATTTTACAGTTCGGAGTTTGCTGTCGTCGACAACTGTTTTTTCTTTAGACTTTGTTTTGGTTCCCATGTACCCACAACAAGGAACATGGCCATATACAAACAAATCGTAGCCATTCCATAATCAAACAATAAAAAATTATTGTTTGTTAACACAAGGACGCCTTTTTGTAATCAATCCGCGCCCTACCAAGTTGTCATTCTTTTAAAGAATGCTCGACTGGGACTTTAAGATATCACATGTAAAACATTTTTTTTTTTTAGAGTAAACATTACTATACAAAAATGAACCATGGACTGCAAACATTAGCTTTCATTTTTTCCTTATCGGGCTGAATTTTTTCTCTAGATAAAAGGCTTTAGATCTAATTGTTATATCGGATATACCTACAGTTTATTAGATTGCTTCTATTTTTACAAATATTTCACTTTACATTTATTGATTTTCTTATCTACTTACAACATAAATTTCTTTTTTCATTGGAATATAAATATTATATGCACCTACATTAAAAAAATGAGCCTAAATTGATTTTTAATACGGTCGAGTTGTTGAGTAAAAGATACAGTTTCCTACATGCCTTCGACTCAATATGTCTTGACTCTAAATCTGTAAGTACAAACGAATTAGGTGTTTCAAATAAAATTAGATATTTTGTTACTGCATAGAATTGTATTTTCATCCTAAAAATTCGTCACTGTTAAAAAGAGACTGAAGAAATATACAATACAAGTAATTGGCTTAATAAATTTCTTCACTGTTGGTATTTCTCGAGCTTGATTTTCAAGATAAAATCAGCTGTCAAATCATATATTAAATATCTTCATGCATGTTACCTCCAGCTAGAGCTAGTTT